TACCTGAACTTCCTCAGAACTTCATTTTAAAACTTTGAAAAGACTGATTTGTGTTGAAATAACTGTTGTGTGTTGCCCCATGGCCACCAATATATTATTTACAGCAAACACTAAATCTATCAAACTTCCAAAAGCAAAGATTGATGCAAAACACCATACCCCTGGAATAAAATAATGGAATAAAATAATGTCTTCCATGAGTGGGTATGCAACCAGGTGCATGTCATGTGCAATGTATGCGTTCCTTGAACCCTAAACATTACAGCATTTTCTTACTATCTCAAGTCATTATTATGATAGAGAACTGGAGATGTTTAAATTGAATCTGAAGTCTTTTTATTTGTTTAACAGATATGCATGTCAGTGTAACATGCTTAATGTAAGCAATTTCAGGGATGTGAAATTAAAAAAACAAAACTATTTGTCCAAGGATTAAAGCGGGGGCCCAATCTACTTGTCCCTCATGACAATATACTTGTTGTGCTACAAAAAATAATGATAAACAAAACCGTATTTAACCGTGCTAGAAAGCGCTTTTCATTGGTCAGCTCAGTTGCAATTTGCGAGCAAAGTTCAAAATCCATAGCGCAGGGCTGCATTAGATGGCAGTACGGAGATGATAGATGATAGTACACCCGTACTGGAGGAGGGGAAGGACCGTTCTCCAAAAGGTAAGGCGGGGGGAGAGGGGTGACAAATTACTTGGGAAAAGTGAACTTACCCTTTAATGCACATTGTGTGTGTTAAGGCTAGTTCACACCATTTTCATTGCGTTCCGGCCCGATTCTGGCCAGAGCGCACTGGATCGCATTGCGGCCGGCTCACTTTGTTGTGGGGTGGGAGGGGGCGTGGCTGTCCACTGAACTCAATGGCACCATAGCCACCCCCTCCGGGTGCAATGTGATCGGCCGCGCGGGAATGCAAAGCACATCTTGGTGTTTGTGTATTTTTTCCAGTTTTCTGCAGTAAAACAGTGTGAATCTTTGCCTGTGTGCAGGAGCTTCCTGTAATAAGACCAGTCACTGCTGCTCTCTCCTCTTGTGCAGGGGGGCTGGTCTTGTATCCACTCACTGCTGTAGTTTCCTGCAGGCAGCCCTGTTGGGTCCCTTCCACAAATCTGCTCCCTGCACAGGCTAAGTGCAGAACAAAGATGATAAGGTAATCTTAGGGTTTGCAAAGGCATTTGGTGCATAAAAAGTGGATTTATATCCTTTATGACTATTGATGAATACATTTAAATGAAAGTTCTTGTGCCCAGAGTTCAGCATTAAAGACGAGCAGATTTCTCTCCTCCTGTCATTCTAAGGGAAACATCTGTATGTCTGTGGCCTACCTAACAAATGTGTGTCTGAAATACAATCATTAAAATATAGAATGGCAAGGCATGAAAGGTGATGGTAAAAAAAAATTGCATCAAAAATCCTTTTCAGCAAAATGGTATAGTAATGACACAATGTATACGCATGAAAATAAACCTTTTAAAGAATAACATTTCACATTCTCTCTCTTTCCGTATAACTACTGTACCCACCAAGATTAATATTATTATTTAAGAATTTCTTCACCCACTTAATCCTGCCCATGCTAAATTTCCCATCCCAAGTAGAAGTATTTTTTAAAGTTCTTTACCTGACAAGTCAATTTTCCCTTTCACCTTCTTGAAAATGATGATCTCAGGAAGAGTAGCAAAAGATGAAAGCCGAGAACCCCATTGCAGAAAATACAAACAGGTCCTCTCTTTCACAGTTGTACAATTAGTAATGCAAATGCACAGCTAAATGGTCTGTTTCTGCTCGCTCATACACCAGCACACACATGCAAAATTAATTATCATTCAGACCTATTGTGATTAACTGGCTTCTAAATAAATCAGTAAATAGGAATGAACAAGCATTTCATCACAGTGCATTCTTCTACTGAAGTTTATGAGGCCGGACAAAGAACAGATCCCTTTTCATGTAACACAAGATATGTTGTGCTTGTTACAGCATTTATTAACAGAAACTGCCGTGACATCATTTAAAGCTTGAGTAACCATTCCCTAAATGTGCTTTGACTGCTTCAGGAGATGTTCCCCCAGAGATCTCTACACAGTGGCAAATTCACACAGTCCCTCTCTTTTAATTGGGAGCCATTCTCCTGGCCATGTAATGTGGGACTGCACAGCAACCCCGCAGCGATGTTCGGGCCCCGTTATGTGCTACGGTGACAAGGCAAGTGTAAACAGCACTCATACAAAGTGACAGCTCTATTCTTTTCTCTGTCAGGCCTGATGAAAAAAACTTGCCATTATTTACGCCGCTCTCTCAGGAACAATCACAACTACTGCAGAAGTACAATGCGGGTACAGGTTTGCAGAGAACAAACTACGTACTGTGCAGTTTCTTCCATATCATGCATAGAATTCAAAACACCCAGATACATAACACTCAGTTCTAATGGGCTGTGCCAAGAAAGTGCCAACATAACCAAAGTTAACTGCAGACTTCAAATATGTAACACATGCTCTGATAGTATTATTAGCTATATGAAAACAAATAGGTACGTGAAATGACAATATGCTCACTTTAAAAGTCATCTCCACCCAAAACCAATATCATAGTGTAGCATAGCTGTTGGCAAGTTCAATATGTTGATGACTTCTTATATCACTTAGGAACTGCAGTGGCAAGATATCACTAACAGAATTCCAAGTTCTACCCAACTGCCCTGGCTTATGCAAAGCCAACTATTGGTGTCAATATTTTCTAAAAGAATTCTTCACAAGGTAGTAAAGATCTATACCAAATGAATTATGGGACTGACACGCTACTGTTTGGTGGAGTCCCCAGACAGGAGACAAATCCAGTTTTCTACATATATTCTGGATGGAAGTTAAATGCTACTTAATTCCACAAGGATAACAGAATGCTATGACTTCAGGATTATACTAACTTCTTTAGAACACTGAACACTTTAAAGAAAAAAATCCTCTGAAAGAACAACTGAACTCCCACCAATGACAAAAATCATCTGACACATTTGACCTTGTTATTAAAGTGAGAATTTAGGTGTAATCGCGCTTTAAAATTATTTGTTCCCAGTTTATTGGTAGCACTGTATTAGAATGGGTTTATAAAATAATATCATACATAAAAAACAATTACATTACCTTACTTGATTGCAATGTTTTAAAGCTATCCATAAAACACTTGTTTATATCAATGATTATAATAAGCATGGTTAACAGAATGGTTATAGTCCACTATATAGTCTACTCTTTCAGGGCCCATTCACACCATGTGCAAAACAGATCCAGATCAGGCGCTTTTTGTCTGGTCCAAAAACACATACCAATTCATTCTTATTGTAAAAAGTGAGGCTAGTTCACACCACTGCGTATAGTTCCAGAAATAGTGTAATGTAAAAAAAAGTACTGCATGCACTAGTTTTTCTGGTCTGGAATGCACCAGAACACACTAGAAATTCAAGTAAGAGAAAAAACACACTGGATCGCATCATAAATGCATTCAAAATGCACATGACTGAGTTTGCAGAAACGCATCCAGATCTGATCTGAAGATGGTATGAACAAGCCCTAATGAATGATCACATCATGCCATAAAACAGGACCAGACAAATCCCAGGAGGCAGGTAGCCAACGCTCCTAAAAAATTACACTTGACATCTAACTTTTGAGGTTTTCTCTAGTTGTTGTCACTGTTGTCACAAAATCCTGCCAGCTTCTGGATTGAACAGGCTGACTCCGGAATTCCATAATTTGTCCACATACAGCTTACCAAAGTCCAGCATAACTAGGCACTGAAATACAACTATATCTAATATTGTTAAAAAGAAATTTCATTTACAAAACTTTTAGTATGAAAAGCTCGATCAACATGAACGCTCATTCGGACAACATGGCTTACAGTTGCAATGGAAATGCTAGCAAAATTCAAATGGATGTAAACCTTGTTATCCATAAAATAAGTCCCAAAAGACATTTGAAAATCACAAATGTACTTAATTTGGGGTCTGCCCACCCTCTACTTTAAAAGCATGAACACTTTATTCAAATGAGTTTTTACAGATGATTTTTAATTTTCAGTATATATTGTTCAAAACTGCAAAGCAAGACAGACAATGAATTACTTGCCAAAATAAAAAAGGCCAAAGTAATATTCCAGCTTCATGGCAAATATCAATTTCAAAAGTTTTGACTATTTATAAAGCTGCTTTCCCTAACTCATCGTCATCATATTCAAGGTGAAAATGCGAAGTGAAGTGAAGTCCTAAATCGACACTTATGGATCAAACAATTCAGGTTTAAATCAAATCACAAGCATTGCTATACGTACATTGTATTCACTGAAGGCTCGTGTTTTCACTATTCTACTTTTTTTTTTTTTTTTCACAGATGTTATCATATACAAGTTGTCTCAATCCTAAAATAACACTGTTTTTTAGGGGTGACAACTACATTCCTATCATCATGCTAGAACTATAATAAGCTTGGTGGTGTTCTGGGTATAGTGTTTGCTGAATTGCAACGACATCTTGTGCACAGAAACTCATCAGATTGCTTGTTTCATTTACCAGTTTGTTTGTTTGTTTATTAGGGGAATGCATCTGCAGGTGACTCAAAACGGTCAATTACAAAATGGGGAAAAAAAACACAATTTCAGAATCTTACACTGCTGCAATAACAGTGTACCATTTATTCTCAAATTATGTTTCATTTCATATCACAAACGTTTTACATTAAATATGCACATGTTACATGTATGTGAAAGAATTACTTTTAGAACATGTAACTAGGCAACCTCCGCACAACTGTCAGCACAAAGCCACTTTTCCTGGGCTCAAAATCAACATTTATATCACATAATAAAATAAAGATCTTTCTTCTGAAAATACTGTGATTCATTGTTAACTCTTTAAATCACAATACTGAATTAGCAGCTCAGCCCTGTTAGACTTCGGTTACATGCTCAGTCAATGTGTACAATGATGGGACATACCTGTAATCTTGGTTTGGAGGGTGGTTATGTTCTGTTGTCCTGATAATTCCAGACATAATTCCTGAGATGTCACTGTCTATCATCTCCTTTAAATGGTGACAACAAAAAAATAGATTGTTAGATATTTAGTCATTCTATGACAGAAAGACAGACAAGCAGATCAGGCATAGGTAGATATATATGATCAATAGATAAATAAATACATGTTATCAGATAGATCAGACATAGATATATAAATACATGATTTTAGATAGGTCAGACATAGATGGATGGTCAATAGATAAATAAATACATGATTTTAGATAGATCAGATTTAGATAGATGATCAATAGATAAATAAATACATGATTTTAGATAGATCAGACACAGATATATGATCAATAGATAAATAAATAAATGGTTTTAGATAGATCAGACATAGATGATCAATGGATAGATAAATACATGATTATAAAAAGGTCAGACATAAATAGATGATCAATAGCTTTTTTTTAGATAAATCAGACATAAGTAGATGATAGATAGATGTGTGATTTTTTGAAATCTCTCTGTGAAAGGTATATTATGACATATATGCGGCCATTAAATGCGGCCGCTCCTATTTATTTTATTTGCATGCAGCGGCATATATGGAGATTGCAGAGATGAAATGGTGGTTTCTAATGAATAAGATACTTGTGAATACCTAAGAATGGTAAGCAGGCTGGTATATCCTTTGGTGAGAGGAGCAGGGTGTATGCAGCTTGTGAGCAGCTCTGTTTGTCTCCCTGGGCACTGCTCTCTTCTTTGTAATGAGATGTCTATCTGCTCCCAAACCGTTTTTAAATTTCCCTCTCAGGAGCTGTCCAGCTCGACGCATGCGCACTGCTCCCCTGGGTCACTAGCCGGGCAATGCTGGCTTCATGAGTGCGATAGTCCTTCTTCGCCCCGTGTCTCCCCCTTCCTCTCGCCCTCTGCCCCCAACAAGGTTGCCTTTGTCCTCGCCGGGAATGGTCTCTTGCCGCCCGCTCGCCCTAGCATTGAGGTCCCGGTCCCTTGTTCTTAGTGTCCCAATGGCAGGGGCTGCGTCCCGGGTGACACCGTTCTGTATATGTGCATGAAGACGCTCTTATTTTAATTTGGGGCCACCGTTATTTACTTTATTCCTACCCCGCTAGAGCTAATTACTGACACGGCACTTTGAAGAGTTAAAAAAAAAAACACGGGCGGGGTGTCAAAACTAGGCCACCTGCCCACTGCCTGGACTAAACCTTCTCCGGGATGGTGTCATAGAGGCCGTGCTTTTCGCCTAATTCGCCCCGCTAGTTCCTGTATAAGAACCCCTCCTCTCGATGGTACGTGCCCGGGGGAGCAGACGGCTGTTGCACTTTTGAAAGTTGACCAGAGAGTAATGCGGGCGGGCGGACAGCCTGCTCTCCAAGGGCTAAAGCGGCGTACAGTCCAGCGGCTGCGGCGAGCTTTTCCGTGCAGGTGTCAGTGGAGCGGTGCGAGCCCGAGTCCTGCTCTGTCCTCACTGTTCCCTCACAAGCTGCTCGCAGCCGTTGGCCAGCCAATGAGCCCGCCCGACCCGCGCTGTCCATGCCCGCCGCTCTACCCGCGTCCTAGCCCGGGAAAAGGCTGCTCGGATGGCGGCAGCAGCAGAGGGAGGGACAGCAGGCGCCGCACAGCCACAGAGGGGAAAGAAAACAAAACAAACTGCTATTGTGTGCGCTCTGAACGTACGAATAATCCCCAGCATTGTCTGTAATTACTGGAAGGGCAGAGCTGCCTGTGTATGTGCAGGTGAAAGGTACAACATGGGCAGTATGAGGAAGGAGAATGTCCTGTCCTTGGACATGAACCCGAGAACATTACTCATTCGCTTACAGCAAATTAGAGTCCTCATATGCAGTTCGCCACGTTCATTCATATTTGTTATATTATGTCAATAAAAATGGCAAAAGTTGTATTCCAACGGAAAAAAGGTGTCTACAGACAAAACCTTCACGTTTACTACTGGATAGAGTGGGGAGGTTTGCTGGCTGCTGGATTTCACTCACCAGGGGCTCAGTTGGGAGACTTCTCCTTACTACACCAGGAGAACAGTTAAGGCTAGGTCCAGATATCGGCGACCGCGCGATTGCACACAGTGATCGCCACGTGGCTCCATTGATTTCAATGGAGTTACAGCCGCGTTGCAATTGCTGAAAAAAGGTACATGTATGTCTTTTTGTGACACGCACCACGCCGTTTTTTTGAAACGCAATCGTGCGCGATTGCACAGGTGGTATCGTGATGGGAAACCGCACAATCTGCCCGGCGCGACTGGGGTGCCATTAGAAAATAATAGTGCGGTGGTGGGCAATTCTGTGGCCATTGTGTTTTTTTAACCCTTTCACTGCCAAGGCCTTTTTTTTTTTTTTTTGTAATCCTCATTTAAGTGCTGGTTCACACCTGACCGTTTTGTAGTGCGTCCTACGCTCGATGAACGCACTACAAAACGGACCAAAATGTAAAAATCATTGAAGTGAATGGTATAGTACCTGATAATCACTTCAAGCCCCCAAAATGTTATATATTTTCTGGAAGCCAAAAACCCTGTGGAATAAAATGGTGGCAGTTGCAAATTGTTATGTTGCACGATATTTGCGCAACTCTTTATCAAACCCAAACATTAAGTAAAAAATGCACTTAAGTTAATTTTAGTGCCCCAAACCTCTGGTGTGCATGGCGATACCCAACATGTGTAGCGTGATCAGCGTTTTCGTACGTAGATGCACCCGACGCCTTTGCGTGAATGCGGGGGGACTTTAAAAATATATATATATTTACATTTATTTTATTCTGTTATTTTTTTTAAAACTTTTGTTTATTTTTTTTACTTTACTTTAATTGCTATCACATAGGGGACCTTACAACCCCCCATGTGATAGCATATTAGTGGTGACAGGTCCTCTTTAAGGTGATATTGGGGATCCAAAAGACTCCTAGTATCACCTTTACACTTTAAATAAGCTTTTGAAGTGCAGATTGCACTTGAATAGCTTATAGCTGGGCTTCAGGAGCTGAGCAATGACCGCCCAGGGACCGGAAGTGATGCAATACGCGTCACTTCTGGTACCATTCTAGGAGGAGAAAGGCAAATGGATGTTCGCCGCTCTCCTCCCCAGCTTCCCGCTGACATCCGACATGCTGGGCCCGCAGGAGGGTCAGTGGAGCCCGGGAAACGTGGGGGGCAGGTACTTTACCGACCTATTGAAGCGATCTGGCGGCAGCTGAGCCCCCAGAATTGGTTCTATTGTAAACCGGCAGCCGGCTTTACAAAGGTAAACAGTCGTGAAAGGGTTCATTTTTAAACTTGCTTCTTTTTTTTTAAAATTAACTTTATTTCTATCACATAGGGGGCTACCAAGCTCCCTATGTGATAGCACATATACTGTACAGTGACAGGTCCTTTTTATGGAGACATCAGGGGTCTATTAGATCCCTAATGTCACCTAGGGACTCCAAAGAAGCTGATTTTCCAGTTACAGCTTGACAGGCTGAAAGTGGAAGTGATGTAATTCACATCACTTCCGCATTCAGTGATCGGAGGGGAGATCAGCCGGTGGAAATGTGCTAATCTCCATCTGATCCAGCCACCGAGAACCACCGTGCCGGAACCACATGGGGACAGCGGAGCCTGGGATAGCTGGCAGCAAAGTGCGGGAGGGCACACACTTCCCCGCACCATACAAGCGTTCGGGCAGATCTAAAGGCGCCCAAACGCTTGTATAAAACAACCGTCGCCGGCCGCGTGCCTGCGCAGGAACGGACATTTATAAACGCCAACCTGATGTTAGGAGTAAGCTGTCTGGCCATTTAATTACAACAGCCAGACGGCAGGGGGTTAATCAGCTGTGTGAATGAGCCCTTCTAGTGCTGAGGCACAGACTGGGTATGGCTAAATTATGTAGGGGGCGTGGCTTAATACATTGTATTGGGTCATGTTTACATACATAGAAGAAAAAAGCGGATAATTATATGCAGCGTGTGTAAAGCTGGGTGTGCACTGGTAGATTTCCTTTCAAGCCTTGATAATCTCATCTCATCAGAACATTCGATCTGCCACCAGAGACTTGTAGAACGTCATTCAAAGTTTTGTTTGATTTTAACATTCGATTTTGGAATGAATGGAGTTTCCTGAATGAAAACCACATTCACTGTTAGAATTTGGTTTGTTCGAGAAGAATTTTCCATCCTTCTCCTTCGATTTTCTTTCCTCACTATGGTCAAAATTGATTGTTGATTTGACCATACTATTAGAAAATAAAACAAAGGTTATGAAAACAAATTATTTCGGAAGAAATTCTATTGGTGTATGGACAGCTTTTCCAAAGATTTACCTTGGAATTCAAAAGGAGCTTCCTCGTCAGACTCCGCCCACTGTCAAATCATTGGTTGCTAAGACGCTAGCAATCAGTGACTCATCCCTGATCACATTCAGCCGTCATCCGGGATATTCCCTGGATTGTGAACAAATGGGGCGGGAATGCTGGCTGACATCATTGAGCCAATATGGCCATTGCTATATTTGGGTAAGAAGTCGCTGGTTGCTAGGACACTGGCAGTCACTGATGTCCTAGCAACCAGCCAGCTTTGAGGGAAGCTGTCACATTTATGGCAACTTCCCAGCGCAAACATACTCTTCTCTTTTCTACACGGTGGCCCCACTGTATAATAAAGCAGGGTTTGTTTGCATGCCTATCCCTGCATGCCAATTTAGAGTCGGTCTTAATTTCCTCCAGTTTCGAAACTTGCGAACTGGCGGCAATTCTTTTTGAATTTGTTGCAGCCATAGTGATACGGTGTGATAGCCTATTGGTGGATTTGCCTACATAATTCGCTTCTGTGATGCACTACTTGGGTGCAGAAACTGACGGTTACAATTCTTTATTGTCCCCCTATTGCAGTGGTTCTCAACCTTTCTAGGGCCGGGACCCCTTGGTAACATTTGCCAAGTCGTGGTGACCCCCAACCGTAAAATTTAGGGATGCCCCAATACTAGTATCTGTGTGTGCTCTCAGGAGGCTATGCGGGCTCTCAGGTGGCTAGTGGGACTCTGGTGGCATCCAGTGCGGCCCCTGTGGTGCCCAGTGTGGGCTCTCTGGTGCCCAGTGCGGGCTCTGTGGTGATCAAGCACTCACCTCCCCTCTCTCCTGCCTGCTCCCCTCTCTCTGATCCTCTCCGGCCGCTGCTTCTGCAAAGCTATCTAGGAGAACTGACACTGCTGCGCTAGAAGGAGGCTGAGGAGCCTCTTACCTAGAGCAGCACAAGGCATGTAGGGACCCCCTCAACTGTGGATTGTGACCCACTTTTGGGTCACGACCCACAGGTTGAGAACCACTGCCCTATTGGATGTGGGTCCGTCAAAAAGTGTCCATGTTTGGCATAGGCCATGTCAATTGTCCCTATACTTTGTAGCAGGGGTAGGCAACCTCGGCACACCAGCTGTTGTGGAACTACAAGTCCTGTGAGGCATTGCAAGACTCAGACAGCCACAGACATGACTCCCAGAGAAAAGCCTTAGACCCCATTCACACTGAGCGACATGGAAATCGCGCGACTTTGAGCGACATTGAGCGACGAGCGACATTGAGCGATGTTGAGCGACATACCTTTTGCAGCGGATCCGCACGGCCGGGATAGCGCGACTTTCGGGGCGACGTTCCAGCGACGATCCAGCGACGGTAGCGCGACCTTCCCCGTCGGGCTCCATAGAAAAAAAGTAAAATCGCGCAAAATCCGCCGAAAAAAGGGTCCGGTAGAAGCGACTTGCGACCGCGACGAGCGACGCGCGACATGGAGTTAAGACAGCTCCATTGAATAACATTGGCCGGCGACTTCTCGCGATATCGCGCGGCAAAAATGCGCGATATCGCGGCGGAAATCGCGCGACAATTCGCTATATGTGAACGGGGCCTTAATGTTCAGAAGAGCAGCATGAATGGTCACTTGGGTGGCAGTCTTGGACACAAGTCATTTAAAATGATGAATTTTGCTCTGTGACAGCAACTTACTTTATATGGAATATAATATCTTTTTGATATGAAAAAAATTGTTGTTGTCAGAGGTGGCCAAAGATCTCACTAAGAAGTTCCTTTCCTTTGGAGAATATGGGGGGAATTTATCAAAATTGGAGCATACT